TTGGATAAAGTGGTAGGTGGAGATTTCAACCTACCAGATATCGGTTGGTCAAACTTAGTAACAAAATTAGTAACCCCGGTCACTGGTGGTTGGGAGCAACATGTTCTCGTGGCTACCAGAGGAAAAAAACATAATAGACCTACTTTTTACCTCAGACACCTCCCAGATAGCTACTGATGTAATTGACGGTCTACCTGAATGTGGTCACAAAAAAGCCGCATGTAAAACTATAGCTGAGTCGTCGCATGTGAGGTCAGCGGTGGTTCCACACTTCCAGCGAAATGTTAATTGGGTAGATTTCTCCGCTTTGCTTAGGGTCCAAAATTGAGACCATTTCTTTCTTTCGTCTGACATTAAGGGAGCCTCTGACATCTTCTATGACAATGCGAATAAATGCTTAAGCATACCTGCCTCCCGTGATAATACGAGAGCCCCTTCTTAGTACGCTAAGAACGCAAAAGGACAAGCAGAAAATACGAGTGCTAACGCGAACATATGAACGTACTCACGACTTCAGCGTATTACTGTGACTACAACACCTAATGACAGAGACGGACATGAAACACCACACCCGTCTTATGCAGGAAGAACAACGGGCTGTAAATAGTAATACCAGTCAACGGGTGACTGCATTACTGAGAAAAAGGAGAGGCGGCAAAACTGACCTACCCTCCCACATAGTCATTCCTGAAGGCGAATGCATTGATTCCCCAATTGCCATGGCAGAAGCTTTTAACCCATACTTTTCTAGATCCTTTAATCTTGAAAAAGAAACCCTGGAATTGTCAACCTCGTTTCACTTCTCTGAACAAGTCTCAGCGATCGAGCTTAGTGTCGCTCCGATAAAACGTATGATTACCTGTCTACGACTATCCTACAGACCTGGCCCCGATGGGATCTCTTTTGCTTTAGTCAAACACGGTGGAGATGATATCCCTCATATTATTAAATATCTTCTCTTTGTCTCTCCAGTCTGGTCAATATCCCGAACGTTGGAAAACGGCTACGGTTATACCGAAACATAAGTCCGGGCCGAAAACTGACATCCGGAACTACCGCCCCATTAGTCACACAGCCATTCTCTCACGCATGCTAGAGAGAATTGTTAAGGAACATTTGCTTTCGTTCCTAATATCGCACAAACTTCTCTCACCTTCACAGCATGGCTTTCTGAAGTCCCGCTCGTGTGTTACCTGTCAAGTTGACTTCCTTAACCACCTAACTGAAGCAATTGACTCAGGTCTTCAGTGCACTGTCATCTTCCTCGACATGCAGAAGGCGTTTGACGGGGTCCCACACAAAAAGCTGCTATATAAAG